CCGTTGGTTCAGCTCTGGTAAGTCTATGCACAGACTGTTGGTTCTCCAGGCATTTTTCCCTACTAGGCCCTGTCCAGCCAAGTGAGTTGGATGGACTATCACATGGGATGGGTAAGGTCTTAAAATAGATTTCCTAGATTGATGGACTGGTGTGCTATGCAACAGGAGTTAGAGTAATAGAGAAGATGCGGAAAATTTATCTTCACCTGAATTGTATAGGGATCTTTAAGGTCATGAAGGGTTAGCGTATAGAAGAATTGTGTTTCAGGTGTAGCTTTTAAGTCATTCAAATTACTGAGTCTGTAGGTCGTTGAGACTCGGAATCAACTCAGTGGCAACAGGTTGCTGGTGCTTTAAATGCAGTACTCAGGTAGCTAAGTTCTTGGGCTGAGAACCTTGAGGCAGTTAGTTTGGAGAGGCAGGGCCTGGCTAAGCAATCTTAGAAAGTGGTCAAGAAGGAAGGAGAGGGCGACTAGCAGGCCCAACACCCCCCCCCCCCAAAAAAAGAAAAAAACCACAACAAACCTCACTGCCATTGAGTCGGATCTGACTCATAGCGACCCCTCCTTGGGTTTCCAAGGTAGTATCACTATGGAAGTAGATTGCCCAGTCTTCCCTCTGAGGAGTGGCTGGTGGGTTTGAACCACCAGCTTTTTGGTTAGCAGTCAAGTGCTTAGTCACTATGCCACCAGAGCTCCTAGGCAGTCCCATTCATTAGAAAAACTGTTTGGAGATGGGATTTTTTGATTTGAAGACACTTGTGACAGCGTGACTAAGACCGTTGGCTCTAAAATCAGGTTGCCCTGAGTTTGAATCCTGGCTCTTCGTCTTAGCTGTGTGGTTTTGTTCATGTCAGGAACTCAGTTTTTCATCTATAAATTGGGATAATAGCTAACACATATTGAACATAAGCTAAGCACTGTTAAAAGTTGCTTTTCATATATTAATGTACTTAATCCTTACACTTAATCCAGGTTGTAATCCTTATAACAACCCAAATGAGTTTATTTATAAACCTGTTTTACAAATGTGGAAATTGCAGCTATAAGTTACCAAGTTTTCTTAGGATCACATGGCTATGTGAGTGATCAAGCTAAGAACTGAACCAGCCGTCTGAATCATCAAGGACTTTGTAATCATGCCAAGCTGTGGTTGGTTCAGATGAGATCACGGCAAATGTAGGGCCTCACAGGTAGTCATTGCTCGTTGAATGCTAGCCATCTCATTATTAGAAATGAGTTAGAACATTCTCGGATTGCGGTGGCTTGGAGCGGCACACAGCTGAGCAAAAGACTTTGGGTGTAGGCTTCAGTTCAGCACATGTGAATAACAGTGCAGGCAGTGAATTGTAATGGCAGATACCCAGGAGTGACTTAGGCCACAGGACCACACCAGGTTTAGCCACCTCCAGTCTCAGGCAAAATGTTTAGTGTTCTGGGATCAGATTTTTGTGGTTATGGAAGAGAAAGGTTACTTATAGAGTGAAGAACTTGCAGAAGCATTAAGGTTAGCTAAGGATGGGAGGAAGCAGGGGCAATCTACTTCTGTAAAGATCTACTGCCTCGGAAACCCAGCGGGGGTCGCTATGAGACAGAATCCACTCGATGGCTGCTAACTATAGGGGTGGAGGTTTGAACCTACCAGCTGTGTTTTGTGGTAGGAAAGACCTGGCGATCTGCTCCCAGAAATACTGCAGCCTACAAAACCCTAGGGAGCAGTTCTCGGTCATACTAGGTCACTATGAGTGGAATCAATTCCACAGCACACAGAGTGTAGGAGTCTCCAGGTGGTAATTCAGAGGTTACAGGTTCAAGTCCTCCCAGACGCACCTCAGCAGAAAGGCCTGCTGACCTATTTCCAAAAAAACCATTGGAAACCCTCTGGAGCACAGTTGCACTCTTAACACACATGGGGTCACCAGGCGTCAGCTAGACAGTGGGGAGGGGTGTGGCTGGCAATGCAGTTGGACGCCTAGGAACCTGCCTGCTTGGCTGGCATGGTGCCTTTCTCTGAATGTCCCTGGAGAATACTGCATTTTTAAGAACAGTAACTTATTTCTGGACCTGAAACCAGAATTACGTTCTAGTTGTATATATTATATTAAAAGGACAACTTCTCAAGGCATGAAAGGAATAGATTACTTATTCATGTCTAAGTAGTTTTCCCTAATATCAGTGTTTTACCCCCAAATTTGGATTTTTTTCTCTCTGCTTTCAAGAGTCTAGACACACACAATTATATGCAGGTATATTACCCTTATTATCCAAGATTTGTAGCCAGAACATAAATTTATGCTTGGCTTTGGCAAGACTGAGATGATTTGGACAAGTCACTTTACCTCTCAGGGGCTGGGTAATCTGGGCAGCAAGTTAATCCCCACATGGCACCTACGGTGTTAGAGACAGTGCTTTATAAACATCCCATTCAGTCACATCCTCTGTAGTTGAGGTGGAGACTAAGGATACCGACCAGATGTCTTTGGCATTTTCCAACCTGCTTGTCTAGGTAAAATACGATTGAGTGAAGACATCAATGTGGAGACAGTACAAATACACCTTAAGATTCATTTTGCTCCATTTGTCAACCCTGGTAATCCTGGTGATCAAAAGTTGTACCATATGTTGGTTATCTCCTGAATTTGGGACACCTGCTTTTCTGTTGCAAGGACACTGGAAAGTTTAACAGGTGATGTAAGTGAAGGTGCTGCTTTTCCCTCCTGGTGAACGGCCAGGTTCTGGAAGCTGATACAGACAGTCTAGTCCTTTTGATTAGCAAGAGCTAGAGCAGGTATTCTCAGGAGGAGGGGACAAAACATGAGTAAACACAAGGGGATTTTTAAATGGTGGTAAGTATTTGGAAAAATAAAGTGATGTGGGTAGAATCCCACAGTAGGGCTGGAGTGGGGGGATATCTTTTATGACGTCATCAGTCTCAGTGAGCCCCTGTGTCTGGTGCATAGTAGGGATGCTATGTGGAAGAGATGGGAGACTCCAGCAAAAATCTTGTTGGGTTCTTAGGGTTCAGGGTAAGGAGTTGGGAATTTTTTTCCAATTGGAGTGAGTTAAAAAGCAGGGGATGATGTGATTGGTTTACAGTCAGTTACATACATATATATGCACAGTGACAAATATAACTACCTAATGATACTTCAGGGAGCTTAGGTGGTGGTGTGCCTAAGGCATTTGAGTGCTAACCAGAAGGCTGGTGGTTCAAACCCACCAGCCACTCCTCGGAAGGAAGATGGGGCAATCTACTTCTGTAGTGATACCGCCTCGGAAACCCAAGGAAGGGTCGCTGTGAGTCAAATCAACTCGAGGACAATGAGTTTTATATTTCAGGAGGCAAATCAAGTGATTAGATATTTTGGGGGATGGGGAGAAGATCACTGAATTGATGTCTGCACACTGACTTGAACTGTGACTTCAGAAGGGCAAGAGGTGTGATTAGTTTTATAGAATGAGTCAACTTCATAAGCTTTTTTATTGTGGAAGAAAGTTTATCTCCAAGGCTATTTCGGACATGAAAGATTTGAAAGGTGAAACGGAAAGGAGCAGAGAGGATTTCCATAGTTGATGAGATTCCTTGTGCAGGTTGGGTTGAGACCTCTTCCTGGCCTCCTCAGAAGGGCACAGGGAGCCGACTTCTTAGAGTCATCTTTTACTCATCACTGGTCCGCTGGCCTCAGTGTCTGAGATGTATCTGCAGCCACCACGAAATGGAGCAAGATTAGTGACCAGCCCATCTGTAGCTGTATTTTGACACTTGACGGTCTTGTCTTTTCCCAACTCCAGAAAAAGCTTTGACCAGTTTTCTACCACTGGATTCCCGAATCACGGCAATTTCCACACCGTTTTCTGGCCTTGCCTTTCTCTCTGCCACCACTTTCCACTAACGTCATAAACAATTCACTGCTTCCACCTTGTTTTGTTCATTTTTAAGTTCTTCCACCCAGCACCCTTCCCCTTTCTCGACTCCCTCATCTAAAGATTAGCAGAGTCTTCTTGACTGTAGAGTCGCTTGCTCAATAACATGGGATTGTGCTAAGAAGCTAACGGAAGAGAGAAAATGTGATGAGGGAGCCGGAACCGCTGGAGAACGTTATTTTGATTATACTTTGTGGCAGATTGTGACTTGCGCTTCCCTCTAAGGTTGGTACTAGAGGTTTAAACCTACAGCTCTGGCTGATGGCACCCAATAAAAGTAAAACAAAAAACTTCCCGCTGCTTTAGTTTTTCTCTCGGGCGGGGCGGGGGAAGCCCTTTTCAACTTCAATGGCCACACGGAGGAGCTGTCTCTTCATCATGGACGCCAGGACGCTGAGCCTAGAGGACTTCTCAGCACTTCCTGGGTAAATGCTTCCTGTTGGGGCTGACCACTGAGCCATTGTACCCTAACCGGGGTTGGGTCCACGAGCCTATCTCAGTTCTTTACACACTATGAGAATAGCTTTCATTTCTGGGAATTTACGGGGTGGAGTGGGGTGGGTGTCTTAGGACTACAGTGCTTAGTAACGACCAAAGGAGGCGGCTGGTTTCTTCACGTGGGATGTTTTGCAGTTTTCACACCTGGCGTACTTGTGTTATTGTCTGTGCTGCCTGGCTTGAGGGGTGGCGAGCAGGACTTAAGAGGGAGACCTTTAGGTTAGAGGGAATTGCAGAAGCCAAATGGAGTGAGCACTGTCGGGGTGTGCGCGTGGAGTAGCAAAATGTGGGCGCTTAAAAGTTGGCGCTATGAAGCCAAAGCCTGCCACACCGGGACTCCCGGTTGCTCCGCCTAATGGCGGGCCGCACCCCGCTGGTGAAGCCCACTTTGCAGTTCCTCCCTCGTGCAGTCCTTTAGCCAATCTGTGACTTCGGCTTCGCAAACTCGGTGCTCATTGGCTTTCATATAAAAGCTCTAGGCTTACTGACGTTTCCACCTCTTCCCGGCCTCTCATGTAATTGGCGTTCATGATAACCAATCAGGAAGAGACTATGCGGGAACGCCTGCCTCCTACTTTATTGAATGGCCAATGCAGTGGTAGGTTCACCTCCCCCTCTACCCAGAGTCACTGCTGCGGCCGCCGCCATTTTAGCGTTTTGTCAGAGGAGTCCGCGCCGCGAGGAAGAGTGCTTGCTGGTTTCCTTGTGCGGGTGAGCGATTTCGAGTTCGTCTACCCCGTTTCTTTTATTCTGTAAATCATTACATGGTCTGGGCGTTGGAGGTATCGTAGTATGCTCGTGGCTTCCGCAGCCGTCACTGAGTGCCGACCTCAGCCCGGCATTGCGCGGCAAGCCTGGAGGAGCCCTTCCCCCACGGCCTCCCCCGAGAATACTTTGCTTTCCCCCCCAGCCTGCTCTCTACTCGGCTTGGCGCAGCTTCCTACCTCCAGGTCGCGGCCGAGAAAATCGCGCTTCCTTTAGATTGAAGAATTGCCATCTCGTTTCCAGAATTTTTGGGACTCCCCGGCCCGGCTGTCTGAATCCCCCTTTTCTGACCGTTCATTTCTCTGTTCTGTAGGCCCTCGTAGCCCGAGAGGCTTCCCCCCCCACTCAGCACTTCCCTGTGCTCTGCGCGCCTCGTTCTCTGGGCCGACTATCGTTCACTGCTTCCAAGGAAAATCCAAAAACGTAGCCCTCAAGGCCTACTCTTCCGGAAATGGTGGCTACTTCTGATAGTAACGAGAGGAAGAATCCAATTGAAAATCACAGCGAATCAGGCAGTTCGGCCCTCGCAGTAGCCAGGCCTTTATTTTCTGTAGCAATCCCAGCCCTGCATTTTTGCGCTCCCCTAACCCTTTGTTTACTAAAGACCTCCCTGTTACAGATGTTTCTCATTCTTAAAGGCACTATAGTGGGCACTGTACCAGGCCTTTACACACGGCTCACGTCCTTTTGATTATGGTGTGGACGTGTGTGTATGTCGGGAAAGTATATTAGAGTGAAAGGAGTTGGCGGGGATTTTGTTGTTTTAAGTGGTGGCTCTAAGGTCTTTGTTAGAAATCTTGTTTTTTGTCTCCCAGGCTGTTGTCAGGATGGTGAAGCTGTTCATCGGAAACCTGCCCCGGGAGGCCACAGAGCAGGAGATCCGCTCCCTCTTTGAGCAGTATGGGAAGGTGCTGGAATGTGACATCATTAAGAACTACGGCTTTGTGCACATAGAGGACAAGACGGCGGCCGAGGATGCCATCCGCAACCTGCACCACTACAAGCTGCACGGAGTGAACATCAACGTGGAAGCCAGCAAGAATAAGAGCAAGGCTTCCACCAAGTTACACGTGGGCAACATCAGTCCCACTTGTACCAACCAGGAGCTTCGGGCCAAGTTTGAGGAGTATGGTCCTGTCATCGAATGTGACATCGTGAAGGATTATGCCTTCGTACACATGGAGCGGGCGGAGGATGCGGTCGAGGCCATCAGGGGCCTTGACAACACAGAGTTTCAAGGTGAACCCTCCTCTTTGAGTGGAGGACTGTAAGAGGGCTGAGCGTAAGACTTTGTGCAGATAACAGGCTGGATTAGTAAAGTCAAAGCGGTACAGATACAACTGTTGGCCGGTGGGGAAAGGTTAAGTATGGGTGACATCTTTAAAATGGAGAATGGATGGGATTAGAGGCTCCTGTGGGAGTTCCATCTGGCTTTTGAGTTGGAGCCCTTAAGGCTTTTATGTTTATCAGTGCAGAAACACTGTTTTTGAGACTTCCCAAGTTTTGTTTGTTTTGTTGTTTGGTAGTGTAGATCATTGCAGAGTGCTTTGTTCTGAATTAATTTAATCTTGCCGCAGTATTAGCATTAACCGTTATTTTACATGTGAAGAACATGGCAAAGTAGTTTAAGCAACAAATAGAGGCACAGGATCCCAATTCTCCTCACTCCATGCCAATTCATTATTTCTTCCCAGTAAAGATAACTAGTTAGTGGCTTTACAAGGCTGTAGTCCTTGTTGGTTTTGTATTAGGCCTGTACCAAAAGATTTTGTTGCGAGGACAGGCTACTCTAGTATTAAGGCTGGTTTTGAAGTTTCTTGGGAGAAGGTGTTGGGATTTGGAAGGCAGTAATAGCAATGCCATTTTATTGCTTTTGGGGGTAGTCTAACATTCTTGGTGAGTAGAGCACTTAGATGGGAGTTACCTGGGAGTGAGGCTGTGCCTGGATATGGGGGGTATGGATTGTCACTTAATTTGGAAGATAGTATTTTTATTTGACTTAAGATCTAAACTCCTGTGCAAGAGTGGCAACTATGAAGGGAGGTGATAACCATGGTGAGTTGCCAGCTACTCATCTCCCTTGGGATGTCAGAGTCGTTTCTCTTTGGTTTGTAATTACTGCCAAATTATGGAATAGTTTGAGAACTCCTTGCTACATTTTTAACCTAGGTTCCAGCTTTCTTGCCATGGACAAGGTAATGGCTGCCTCTCTTACTGAGTAGTACCTTTATAAAGAGTCACTGCTACTATCCTTAGTGTTTATTTCCCTTAAATTGGGCCTTATGCTTGGAGTCTTATCATTATGTCCCCAGGGTAATGGGTGTCCTGTGTCATGGGTATTACTGTACGTTATTGAAGAGGAATGTCACAGGTCTCTCAGGTCTAATTTGTTTTCCTTTTTTAATTGGAAAGTTAAGAATTACTTTGTCAACAGTTTAATTGGGAGCACAGGCTGTTCTTGTGGAGAGATACTTTGTTTTTGGACACTATTCCACACTTGAATGGGTAAGGGGAGGACAGTGTAGACTGATTAAGGAGAAATTATTCTGTTGGTAAAACGGTGGGCATCTGAACTCTAGGTCTCTGATGCTTCCTGTGCTATTTTGTCCTATTTTCATTAGTATTAGCCATTCTCCTTTCTTACACCATCAGTAAGTTTTATGTACATGTTGAATAGCGGTGTTGATTATTGTGGTCTTTTTCTGTCAGTTTCTTAGTGTTGGGTATATTTTCCACCAACTCTAGGCCATACATTTTATTGCTTGCCCATTGAATGAAGATCTGTTTTAGTGCCTAGAAATTCAACTTTTTTCTCTGGCATTGTTTAAATTGATCAATTCTTAGGGCATTTATAGATGACCTTCATGTCTTGAATTTGCATGGTTGGTTTCTTGGATGTATTTATTTTGTCAGATGCCAGTGCCCCTGGGGGCAAATGCCAGAGGGACACAGGCTAGTACTTTGAAGACACTTAAGTACTTAGTTGCATATCTTAGTTCTTGGTAACCTATGTAACTGTTAAACCAGGACTTTTATTATATTGGTCCCTCTACTCCCTTTGTCTCATTATGTCTTCAGTCTCCTTAACCTAACCTTAATTCTGCAGGTGAAGTTGTATATTTACCTGTTTCTCTAAGTAAGTTGAGTAGATGACCCAGCTCCTCAAGCAGTCCTTCTTTAACACCTGCATGTTTGGGTGCATTGTTGCCAGTTGCGTTGGAAAGCTTTTGCTGGCTTTGGATTCCTTCTGAAGTTTGCTTACCAGTAAATTGGTAGATCATGTCAGTGGAAACTACTGTGAACAGGTTTAAAACTTGTGACTCTCTACATTTCTGTTGTAAATGGCTGCTTGTTTTGTTAGATATTTCTGAAGTAATTTTCATTTCCAGAAAACAAATTGTAATCAGAGGAAAATAGTATTAAATGGATGTTCTTAAGACCTCAGTTCCATAATTTAAGGAGAAAAAGTACTTTAAATCCTGCTAAAATAGCAGTTTGGTCCACTGACTAATAACTACTGGTTAGTCTCCATTTTATCCATCCTTTTCTTCCATGTTTTTCATAATGGTGTCCTTTCCAAAAATTGAGGCATTTTGGGAACTGCCCTGTTAACCTTTCGGCCGAGTAGGAGTCACTAAAGTTATCTGTCAGATGATGATGAATCCTTGTTAGAGACTAAGAATCAGAACAAAGCAATTGAGAGCACCCAGATAAAACAGCCTTCCTTTCCAATTTAAAGCATCCAGTTATATAAGAAAGAAGACAGCTGCCACCCCTTATTCCCCATTCATGAGTGTTTTTTCCCCCAAAGATGTAGCTTGAAACTTGTCCACAGTTAGCCATTCTATCAACATTAACTTTAGAGTCTTTTATTCCATTATCTTGCTTTTGGGGGGAGAGAAACCGTGCTTTGCAATCTCCTGCTTAATGAAATCAGAATCTTGGTAGTGAAGTTTGAGTGGAGGTGTCAGAACTTAATTGTATTGTCTTGCCATTGGGCCACTGTCTAGAATAGATTTTTGCCCAGTTACTTGGCAAAAGATAAGATTAGTGTAGAGCTGGAACATTTCTTCATCTTACTTGTCTTTGCCTGAAATCAGGTCATTGTACTGAATCTGTATGTTGGGCTTTTTTTTTTTTTTAAAGGGGAGGAGAAAAACCCCACCTTTTGGCAGTTGATTTATCTTGCATTGGAGTTGTCTAGACATTGCTATGACCAGTGTCTGGGGTAGTAGGGGCCAGAGCTATGACTAAGAGTGATAGCAACCCTTCTTGCGTCTGTTTCTTCAAGGCAAACGAATGCACGTGCAGTTGTCCACCAGCCGGCTTAGGACTGCGCCCGGGATGGGAGACCAGAGCGGCTGCTATCGGTGCGGGAAAGAGGGGCACTGGTCCAAAGAGTGTCCAATAGATCGTTCGGGCCGCGTGGCAGACTTTACCGAGCAGTATAATGAGCAATATGGAGCAGTGCGTACGCCTTACACCATGAGCTATGGGGATTCGTTGTATTACAACAACGCGTACGGAGCGCTCGATGCCTACTACAAGCGCTGCCGCGCCGCCCGGTCCTATGAGGCAGTGGCGGCTGCAGCTGCCTCCGCGTATGATTACGCAGAGCAGACCTTGTCCCAGCTGCCACAAGTCCAGAACACAGCCATGACCAGTCACCTCACCTCCACCTCTCTCAATCCCTACGATAGACACCTGTTGCCGACCTCAGGAGCTGCTGCTGCCACAGCTGCTGCTGCAGCAGCAGCTGCTGCTGCTGTTACTGCAGCTTCCTCTTCATATTACGGGCGGGATCGGAGCCCCCTGCGTCGCGCTACAGCCCCAGTCCCCACTGTTGGAGAGGGCTACGGTTACGGGCATGAGAGCGCGTTGTCCCAAGCTTCGGCAGCCGCGCGGAATTCCCTGTACGACATGGCCCGGTATGAGCGGGAGCAGTATGCGGATCGGGCGCGGTACTCGGCCTTTTAAAGCTTGAGGTGAGAGCTGTGGGGTCTCCTGTCTGGTTTGCCATCCCTCCTGCAACCTAAGGGCTCCCGTTAGGCTGCCCTGCTTGCTTGCTTTTGCGGGGTTAGGGTGAGGTTACTGGCTCAGCTCAGAGGCTAGGGAGAAGTCATAACTGCCTATAACTTTTTGAAATACATAAAAATCCTTGGCCTTCATGGCCATTTTTCGGTTTTACCAGGAGGTAATGGGGTTGGTCTGATTCTATTTGTGACTGGAAAAACAAACAAAACCAAGAATGGTGTGGTGTGCTGGCGAACCTTGGGTCACACCAGGGTGTTATAATTGAGCTGAACCTGGAACCCAGGCATTCAGACTGAGGTGTGCTGTTTCTCAGAACCTTTGTTGAGATTCCAAGGTGTGCAGGATTTACTGAGGGGGGTCCAAGTTTCCTGTTCTGCTGCTTGCTATGTGAAAGGTCTGATTTGACCTAGAAGGAATAAATCTGTAATTGGGTAACTGGTCATGACTGCTCAGATCCTAGTCACTATGAAGACTCCCAGTGGTGCCATCATCTTATTCTTGAAGAGTACTTCTGATACTGTTGCTTGTTCAGTCCCTATGAGCTTTATAGAAAACTTACTTGATGGTAAGTTGGGGCAGAGAGGAGTAGAAAAGGTTATCTTTTATAAAACAGTTCAGCAAGACTATAGAACCCACTTTTTCTGCTTAGGGTCAGAGTCAGTCCCCAAATAAAGAGAGTCCCACCCCACTGCTGTATCTTCACATCTGTCCCTTAAGAATCTGTTGAGCGTTTAGAGTTCAGCTTTTTTCCTTTTTTAAATAAGCTTCCCAAATGCTGGATTTGACATCCTGTCCAGTTCTTCAAGTCATGTGGTGATGAAATGAATGAGCACACAGACTTGTTACTTTAACTCTCTCGGTTAATGTGAATCAGGGTTTAATGTGAGTCAGGATCGGGAGCTTTGCCTTAAGCAGATCACTCCCTTCCTTTTCCCGCTAGTTGCTAACAGGCATTTAACACTCTTAAACCACCAGTTCTACCTTGAGTCCTCTGGCTTTTCCGCTGCCAGATGTTTTGAGCCTCCTGGTTCATTTGGCTCCACTTGAGTATATCCTCTTGTTGCTTGCCAGCTTTGGGCTCTAGGTGTTTGAGATTGCTCTTGCATTAATGGGTAATTCTCAATGCCCTTTGTTTTGAGTAGCCCCATTGTGGCCCAGACATTGCCATTGGTCTTAATAGTGACAAAGTGATTGATAGTGTGTTGTCATTTCAAGTAGGATGGAGAATATGGTCATTGGATAGAAAATTACTGACTGGACTGGAGGGCAAAAAAAAGCACAGGTGACTTGATGTGTAGCTTACACATGCCTTCTAGTACCTTCTTTCAGAAGTTACTGTTTTCCCTAGGCAGAGTTGGATGCCCCGAGATCTTACCACTTGTTCAGTTTGTGCTACTGTTGCCCAGACCTTGAATGGTTTTTAACTTGGACCGTGGTGATAACACCCAGATTAAAAACATAACTGTTGACTTTTTACCCTAGAGATCTTAACCTTTCTTTTTTTCCCTCTGATGACAATTGTAATGTTGAACTACCTTCTGAGGAATGCTCATGCTAACACCAAGAGCAATGGAGTATCTGCATTCTCTCTGGAAAGACGACTTGGCTGTTTAATTTGGAGAAGGGTCCCTGTCGGGAATGCCTAACCTTCTCAGTTTACTCGCCGGACTTCAAGCTTTTTTCCATTTTTGGAGTTTATTGTGTTACAGGGGATGGGAAATAAGTAAAACTTCAAAGGAATGTCAAGTTACCAGATGTTGTAAAGCTGTTCTCTGAAGTTTTGAGTGAGAAAGCCCTTTTGAGCTCTGCTGTAAAGCCCCTATGTTGTGCTCTCTTTCAGGTGGGATGTGTGTGGGCTGAAATTCCGAGCTGCGGTTGTGCATGAGAATACACCTTTCGTGGTACCCTGTCTCCGGGACGTTCTCAGCTCTGTGCGTTCAGTCCCTCAGGAACCGTGGACCTTAATTGACCTTGCTAAGTTCAGACCTCCTCTGCCTTTCCTTTCCTCTCCTGCCCGTTTTCCTGTTCTTTAGTACTTCTGTAGCTTCCCGTTCATGTTCTGTTCTCCCGCAGGCCTCACTGTGTGCAGAAACTGGTGGGGGCCATGCTGTCTCCTCCCTGCCTCCTGCTGCCGGTGGGTGTTGGACTTGAGAAATAATCTTGGTGAGCATGTCACTGTCTCTGGGTCTCTTTCTGGCCCAAAGGCTTGTGGCAGGTAGACTATAGAGTTGGATCACTTTTTTCTTTCCAGTAAAATAAATGGTTTTTCAACTTAGGGTATGTGTGTTTTGAGAGCATTTTTGCTTGGGCTTATTTGTGGGTCTTTATTTGTCAGTGGGCGAGAACGGGGGTGGGGGTGTGAAGGTTAGCTTCGGGTGAACCCTGCTGCAGTTACTCCTTCAGTGTACTTAGGACTCACAGATGCCAAAGGAGAAGAGATAATACACAGAAGAACCAAGGCAAGCAGCCTTACTCCTTTCCACTAAGACTTCCTCCCACTGACCACCTTGGCTGTGAAATGACGGCTTAGAGGAGTAGTTTAGAGATCAGTCTCCCTGCCGGAGAGTCATCAGCCACCTCAGGACTACCATTTCAGTCACCCACTCCGTTAACACAGTTAGCTTGACTTATTTCCGGGGATGAGGTGTAGGAAATGGATTTGTGGGAAGAGACCTGCTTTCACAAGTGGCCAGTTGCTTTTCATGTTGTGGGAAAACGAAGCTGTGGCTCCCACAGCATTCAGCAGCTTCTCTAGGCCAGTAAGACCTCTGGATGCCTTTCCCGTCTGTCTAGCTCTGCCAGAATGTGAAGAAGACCTGAGTGCACCTCTGTACTGGTACTTGCAGTGTTGAGATGATGGAAGACTTAGCAGTGAGCTTTGGACTAGATGATTGTCAGGGCTAGGGGCTGAGTGCAAGGAAGAGCCACCACCTCTTGGTTCCTGTTGATAGCAGGATAGTGCTTGTCAACTTCAAAGGTACACACTCCAGTTTCAGCATACAGGGTTATATCCAGTTTGGACTTTTCTCAGAAAAACATTCAGCAAATAACTGGAGGCATGCTTTTGGGTGGGTGGGAGTTCACCTTGAATTGAGCAGTTCCTCAGCTCTTTCTGCTTAATTGCTTCTACTTTGTCTAATTTATAGGTGACTGAGATAGGGACAGCTTGATAAGTAATTTATTGAGTATGTGAGGCCCTCAGGAGTTAACTCATTTAATTTTCCCAGCATACAGTTTTGTTCCTCTTCTCTCCCAAATCCAGATAATTGCTGAACATGGCAGCTGGCTTTGGTGAAAGATGACGACAACCATTCTAGAATTTAAGGTGTTGGGGGTGGGAGAGCTGTTGGCACCTCCAGACACACAGTGGGCAGCTGCAGGTAATTTGTTTCCAGACGAGGTCCTTTGCCTGCATTTGCCCTTTTTTTTTTTTTCCCCTTTTTCCTTTGCCACAGCACCTTTCTTGAGGGTTGTGCCTCTTGTGGTCCCTTTTGTCAGACCCATCGTGTCATTGACTTACACTTTATTGATGAGTATATCCCTTGGTCTGATGGGTGGAGTTGGCAACTTCCCAAGGATGGAGACTAACAGGATTCATTGATTGAGCAGATAGTTGACTTGAGTGCTTTTGTGGAAGAGGGGCTCTGGAGCTCATAGTGTAGGGGAGGGGGCAGAGAAGTGAGTAATGGCAACCAGAGTTGTGTTTACATGGATTGTCAAAGGTTTTTCTGAGGTGAATACCTGTCACATGACCAAGAGCTCGCCGTTGATTGCTGACTTGTGATGCTACAGGACAGTAGAACTCGCCCCCATAGCCAAGGCTGTAATTGTTACCAAGATGGACTGCCACATCTTTTTCCCTGGTATCAGCTGGTGAGTTCAAACTCCTGACCTTTCCAGTTAGCAGCTGAACACTTAACCACTGCACCATGAGTGCTCCTCGCAGATTGAACAAGTAGAAGAATAACACACTGGTTCAGTCATAGTTGCCAATATGAAGCTGGAACAGATGTGGAAATTTTGGTGATCTTGAGCACTAACTGGAATGGGGAAAATACAGGTTGGATCCCTGGAATGGTGAGGCTCAGAAGAGATGGAGTGAGCCCCTTCAGGAGCCTGATACTGGGTATTGGGTTACTGCCCAGACTGGAGAGCAACACATTCAAAACTGCGAAGTCGGCTGCCACCTTTGAGCTGAGCATCACTGGACTCAGCCTATCGAGATTTGGTTGCTAAGCAACACATGCTGCCCTTGTTTTCTAGGGAGATTGAAATTTCTTGTAGGGCTTTAACCTCTAGTTTTTCCCATTCTGGTTGGCATTCAAGGAGCTCTGGTGGTGTAGTGCGTAAGACATTTGACTGCTAACTGGAAGGTTGGTGGTTCAAACCCACCAGCCACCTGCTACACAGAATGAAGATGGGGCACTCTACTGCCATTATTTACCATCTGGGAAATCAATGGGTCGCTATAAGTGGAAATTTAGACAGTTTGATTTGGTTTTTGGTTAGCATCCTGGTTCACCCACTTGTAAGAAATTCACGTCCATTCTAGTGTCACTTCATTGGCTGTGACTGAACGGGGCTGCACCAGTTCAAAGACCTAGTATTTTATTTTTTGTGTGGCTTAGGTGCAAGTCTACAGAGCAAAGTTTGCTTTACATTCAACATTATGTGTACATTTAGTTTCACTCCCCATTTACCATCCCCAACCCTAACCCAGTCTCCTCCCCTCCCTGCCCAGTGACACCCCCTCTCCCTGTGCCCCTCATAGTTACACACTTCTGTGTGTCCTGCGTTTCCTTGTGCAAATGTTGCCCCTCTGGTGCCCCATGGTTGATTGCTTGAAGGGATACATTTCCATAGAGTCTGTGGGTGCATCACCCTGGGTTGAGTGATCTGCATGTACATCTTGTTTACTATTGGGCTGAGAGGCAGCCCCTGGGAGTGAATTTTATTGCAGGTCCAGAATGTATCCCAGGGCCATAGTATTGTTGATCTCACTAAATTCCATCTGACCAGTAATTCTGGTCATTAATGAGTTTTTGGATTTTGTTCCACGTTTGTCCTCCCAGTCTATCCAGGATCTCCAGATTTGATAATCCTTTCCTGAGAGGTTGGCATTGATAGTCGGTCCCCATCTACCTAGCCTAGTATTTTTACATCATAAAACAAGCTGGTTAAAATAAACACTTCTACTGAAGGGAGTCGTTCTTGCTTTCTGCCTTGAGAGCCTGAGCTCCCTGTAACAGACAAGCAGCTTTCCAGTGGTTTCCATAGGCTGCCCTCCATGTTATGCTTACCTTGTTTAGTTAACTTTATGGAAAGGAAAAATACTTTTTGAAGTAGTAAATTCTAAGACTGAGGTGATTTGAAAGGCTTTTAACTCTCTGAATTTTTTATTTTAAAATAAATTTTTAACATTACTTTTTGCTTAAGTTTTCAATTACAGCTGAGTTGAGGCTACACAGTCTGCTCTGTAACTGACAAGGTCATGTTGCCATCATCTCACATGTGATACAGTAATTTTCAAGAAGAATAATAATGCCTTTACTATACTGCTTTTGCATAGGCCAGGGAGCTCTGGTAGCACAGTGTTAAGCATTCAGTTGCTAAAGAAAAGGTTGGTGGTTTGAACCCATCAGGTGCTCCAGGGGCAAAAGATTTGGCCGTCTCCTATGGAATAGTCCTTTATCCTGTATGGGTGCTGTGAGTTGGAATTGACTCGATGGCAGTAGGTTTTTTTTTTTTTTTTTTCCATTAGCCTTTCACCATTATTTTCAGTAAAGTGTGGTTAATATGTATGTGAGTGCCGGGTTTGCTTTTTGGCTACCGTGTTTAAGTCACCGTGGAGAATATAGAGATGAATAAGGCGTGACACCTATACTAGAGTTCCCCAGAGAACAGAACTGAGGGTTTGTAATAGAGAAGGAGAGAGAGAGGATGAATTCCCTCATGTCATCACAGAGGCTGGCCCATCTGAGCTCCCTAGGTCAGGCCAGCTGGAAACGGTCAGGGTGTCTAAAGTTCACTTTGTGCTCTTAAGTCTTTTAATTGATTGGATAGAGCCCACCCACTTTGCTTATCAGTAGGAGGGCAACCCTCTTATTTACAGTTAACATGTTAATTACGTTAATGAAATCTGTTCACAGCAGCATTTTGACTAGTGTTGGAGTCACCTAACCTGGCCAAGTGGACACAAAAACTAACCACCACAAGTGCCTGTCCTCACCTTGTCTCCATGGGATTGTTTCTATCTGGGCTTTGGGTATGCAAATAACTCCTGTGTCCCTGGTGTCTGGTGGAGATGGGAATGGTCACTATTCTGCAGTGGTTTCCAGCCCAGCCTGGCTCTGGGAGGCTCAGAGGACCTATGAGGGCAGAGTTCTCAGGGTGTTCTTGGGGTTTGATTTGGGTATTATTAGACTCTGGTGGCGCAGTGTCCAAGGCATCTATCTGACTGTTAACCAGAAGGTTCGTGGTTCAAACCCACCAGCTGCTCTGAAAGGAAGATGGGGCAGCCTACTTCCATAAAGAGTCACTGCCTCAAAAACCCAAAGGGGTAGAGTTACAATCGACTTGATGTCAATGAGTTTGCTTTAAGTTGGATGTCTTGCAAGCCTTGCAAGCATTCATTAAATTGAGGCTGGCTTGAGTGAATACTGGACTAAGCCAGCCTCCTTGCCCTCCCCACCCCATCTGTACTAAACTAGACCAGGGGTGGAATACTGAGAGAGAGACCATTTGGACTGGGGAGTTAATGCTCTTTCAGACTCCTGGAATCGGGTTGACTCAGTCCTCTTTAGTTCTTAACACACAGTCTCAGGGGAGCAAAGGAGACCCCCAGAATGATGACTCTGAAAAGTCCCAGGACTTTACCTGCTGCTGCCTGGGAGAAAGTAGGGTTTCAGGAGGGTGTGTCTCAAAGATGGCAAATCCTACGGGTGAATGTGTGGAGGAAAGGCTATGTTCATTTGGAGAGTTCAGGGCTTAAATTACTGATCAAACCAAACCTGTTGTCAATTCAGACTCAGGGACCCTGTAGGACAGAGTAGATCTGCCCCATAGGCTTTCCAAGGCTGAAATCTGTGGAAGCAAACTGCCACATTTTCCTTCCATAGAGTGGTTGGTGGGTTTGAGCTGCTGACCTGTTGATGTGTAGCCGAGTGCTTTAACCACTGTGCCACCAGGGCACCTTGAATTACTGATAAGTACATTGGGAACTCTGGTAGCATAGTGCCTAAGGCACTTGACTGCTAACCAGAAGGCTGGCGGTTCAAATC